TGTTTCTCCTCTTCAAATAACTAAATAAAGTTATTTCCTTCTTATTCATTTTGGAATACTAAAAACTTATAGACAGAGCAGAAAGTAAACACACTAAATTGATGGTTATTATTGGGGTATTTTTTCCTTTTTTTTTTCTTTTTTGTGTATGTATTTTGGTTTTTTCCCCAACTTTATTGAGATAAAATAGACATATATGTAAGTTTAAGGTATACAGTGTGATGATTTTGATACACATGTATACTGCAAAATGATATCCATAGTAAGGTTAGTTAATATCTTCATCCCCTCATGCTATTTTTTTCTTAACATTATATTTTGAATTTTCCTCGTATTACCAGAAATTCTTCATAAACATAATGTTTGAATCCTGAATCAGTGATACAAACTTAACTTTTATGTAATTTTAAGTTTTTTCCAACTTCCTTACTGCCATTTATTACATTATAGTGCATGCCTTTGTTTATAAATCATAATTACTGAGTCAAAAGTATGGACGTTTCTTAGGCTCTTGTACATATTTGTTAACTATCCCCAGAAAAGTTACATCAGTGTACATTTTCATCACCAGTTTTGACAGTCTCTCATTTTTTTGCCTGAATTTTATAAACATCTTTGCCAAAGTCAAGTACTAAAAAATGGTGTTTATTTTTATTTGCATGTCATGAGTACTTCCATCTTTTGTCTAGTTTTGAGAGAAGAGTACTGAACTATGTGAGATAATTTTAGGAAAAGTTCAAATGAGCAAATCATTAAAAATGATACGTGCATATCCTAAACATTTATTTTAAACTTGAAATACATATCTGTATATTTCTTTGATTTTTGACTCAGACCTTTGAGTATATGGGTTTGCCACTTGGAGTGGAATGTTATGTTTCTGGCATAAACCACATCCATACTGCACTGTTTATAAGGTCCAATTTCAGGATAACATTCGAAGCAAGCTGAATGTGGAATCCTAGACTTTTATACTTTATTTTTTCTAATATTTTGCATGTGTCTCACTACATCAAAATTGACAGCAATTTTTTTTTAAAACATTTTATTTATTTGACACAGAGAGACACAGCGAGAGTGGGAACACAAGCAGGGGGAATGGAAGAGGGAGAAGCAGGCTTCCCGCTGAGCAGGGAGCCCGATGTGGGGCTCGATCCCAGGACCCTGGGATCATGACCCGAGCCGAAGGCAGACGCTTAACGACTGAGCCACCCAGGTGCCCCAAAGTTGACAGCAGTTTTTAAGTAACTCATCTTTATTGAATGCCTTGGAAGCATTCAGCTTAGTTTTCATGGAGGCAGTGTTTCCCTCTTGCATTCACTTTTTGTTATTTAGTAAAATGTGTTGTCATAATTATAAGCTCAACTGATTTAAACAGCCTTAGGAACAAAATTATTTGCTTCTTGGTGAACAGACATTTCCACTGGTGGAAGTAGAAACAAGGTGGTAAGATACTAGAATGTAGCCTACCAGCCAAGAGCATTGAGGATATTTGATGGAGGGATTTGGGAACATTGCTTAACCTGACAAGTCATTTAAAATAGAAACTGGTAGGGCGTCTGGGTGGCTCAGATGGTTAAGCGTCTGCCTTCGGCTCAGGTCATGATCCCAGGGTCCTGGGATCGAGTCCCGCATCAGGCTCCCTGCTCCTTGGGAGCCTGCTTCTCCCTCTGCTTCTCTCTCTCTCTCTCTCTCCTCCTCTGTCTCTCATGAATAAATAAATAAAATCTTAAAAAAAAAAAATAAAATAAAATAGAAACTGGTATTTAGCGAACTTTCAGTTCTAATATTCTCTGAAACCAAGATTTACTTGTAATGGGGGGGGTAGAAATTAATCTTAAATCCTACTTATATCTTGCCTTCCCTCCTTTCCATTTTTGAATAATTATTATTTTTTTTAAAGATTTTTTTTTTTATTAGAACGCACGAGCAAGGGGGCGGGGCAGAGGGGAGAGGGAGAAGATGACTCCCTGCTTTACAGGGAGCCTGATACAGGACTCGATCCCAGGACCCTGGGATCATGACCTGAGCCAAAGGCAGATGCTCAACAGACTAAGCCACCCAGGTGCCCCATTTTTGAATAATTATTAATTATGTGCCTTGTGCTGTGTAAGGTACAGTGAATAAAGAGATAAACAGTACAGTTTCTCTTCTCAAGGAATTGAAATCCAAAAAGGGAGACACTGTATGGTGCTGTCACTTGGTTTTCTGCTTTAAGTACCAGCCTAGGAGTATGAGTCATACAATTGTGAAGGACAGAGTAGGATTACTCCACTCGGTCTGTCAGTGAGAAAAACATTTCCAAGTGAGGCTTGATCTTCAAGAATGGACAGGAATTAGCTTAGGCTTTCAGAATAGGAGGGAATAGCATGCACATCTTTTACAAGGAAGATTAGCAATCTTCTGAGTGCGTGCTGACCTATTCAGAATTGCCATATGTATGTGTGTTTGTTCTTTCATTCGTTTATTCATTCCTTCAGCAGTGAAACTCTCACCCTGGTCTTCCCCCATGCTTTGTGATAGTGATTATTGCTTCTGAACAGCCACATATCTATAAGCTGCAGAAATAGATGAATGTGAAGCACAGTCTTGTGTCCCATCTTCTCTGTCCTTCTTTACTCTTCCCTGGAGACGTTATTAATTAATTCAGGGAAAGTACAATAATGAGCACCATTTGTTAAACACTTACAATGTACCAGACATTTTTTAGTGTTTTACATATTTTCTCATTTATTTTAATCTGTATTGCCACCCTGTAAGGTAGGAATTAGAATCTCCATGTGTAGATCAGGAAACTGAACCTGGAAAAGTTAAGGCAAATTGCCAAAAGCTTTACTGTTGGAATTGATGAACGTAAATTTGAAGCCATGTTTCTCTAAGTCAGAAAGTCCATCTCTTAACCATTGTGCCAAGATTTACAGTTTTGAGGACTCACTCTAAATCACAGGAGAATGTTTCGATACTTTTTTTCATAAGATTCTCCTAGACAATTATGTTTGAATATCCAAAGATAATTGAAAACTTGTGTTGAGGCTTAATTAAGTCACTGATAGTTACGTAACTCAAAGTTAAATTATATGAATTTTTTCTTACTAGATTATAGTTCCCATAAGACATGCCAGTCAGTCAAAATGGAAAGAAAGCTCCCACCATCCCTATACCCTCCTTGCACTACTCGCCCCACTTCTCTCTCATTAGAGTGTGGATGATTAGTGCCCTGACAGTACTGCAAATCCTGAACAGTCTACTAAATGCCCTCCTTATCCAACCTCCAATGTATAATCTGACTTAAATCACCTTTCTGGCTATAGCTGTCCTTGGATGCTTCTGCCCTGGCGATCTCCTTTACTTCACTTGCACTACCAACCCTCCGACCCCACACCACTGCCACTTCCGCCACAACGCCTGTCCGAGACACACATAAACACATCCCCATTCTCTAGTATCCTCAAACTCAAAATTCCTTTAACATACTTTTTTTTTTTTTTAAACATTGCTGTGCGTTTGCTCTTGCTTGTCCAGTGCCCTTCCCACTCATCTTCTGTTGCCAACCTGGGAAAATCCTGCTTATCCCTTAAGTTCCAATATAAATGTCCCCTCTGTGAAGCCCTCCCTTCCCCTTTCTCCAGAAGAGGCTGTGTTTATCACTTTCCTTCTGACTTTGAAACATTCTGTTTATGTTTTTGGTAGAGCCCTTAACATACTCATTTTCTTTCTCTCTCTGTGTTTCCCCTGCTCCTGAATGGGAGTTCCTAGGTTAAGTTATTATCTTTTACCTTTAGTGTTCACCTGTAGTAGCTTATTATACTGAATTGTTACTGATAGTGATAATAACCTTTATTAAGTGCATCCTATGTCTTAGGTACTGTGCTTGATGTTTATACATATTCATTTAATCCTCCTTTCATCCTATGATACAGGGACAGTTATTACCCCCATTTTACAAAGTAGGAAATTAAAATTAAATGAGGCAAAATAACATGACCAGCGTAATACAGCAAGTGAGTGATGGAGTCAAGATTTGAACCTAGAGTGTCTGACTCCAGAGTTCATTCTTTATACCTATAGGAACAATCAAATTGATTAAGTGCTCTGGGAAGTTATCAACAACTAGGAGATACATTCTCTATTGAGACCAACCCTGAAAGGCTAAAAAGAAGGATGTAAAATACCCCATCACCAAAGGAAGGAGTGAGGTCCCTTGGAGAAGGCTTAAGAATCATTTGAAAAATTTTGTGTGATCACAAGAAGAGAGTCAAAGGACTCTTGCTCTGATCACCGGTAAAGTTAGGTTCAGAGCACGCAGTACCTGGACAGCTACCCCTCACACATTGTTTTTATAGACAGTGAATGAGAAAAAGTGAAAAGCCAGTGTTGGACTGAGGGATGTTGTAGGTCATCAAATGCCAGAGCTCCCCTTTTATAAAGGAGAAGACCAAGGTTCAGATTAATTAATTAACTTGCCCAAGGGCACATAGCTAATAAATAATAGAGCTTGGACTAGAGTCCCAATTTTCTGAGTCCCAGGTCAGTGCCCTTTTTACCACAGTGTGCCCTATATTAGAGTTGCTATGTTCGTATTTGGAGAGAAAAATGCTAGACCAGGGCAGAAATGACTCTTTGAAGGAAACAGCTTGATGCTTTTGGAGCTGGTCAGCTTTTGCCTAAGACCTGCTGCTATTTTGGGCTCTCAGTTTGCTCAGAACTAAATACTGCCAGCCACACAAATAAAAAGGCAAGGCTATTATTTAGGCCTCCTAGGTCTGGGCATTCACTTACCTGCTTGCAAAGGCAAATTATCAGTTGATCTCTGCTGGACAGTTCGAGCATAGGATTATATTAGCCCTTGTCTTAGCCCTTGGACATCTGCTGGTTTGTCTGTGTTAAAGTAAATGCACAAGCCTTGCTTTCAGGTTGCAAGAGGGGAGGGAAAAGAAAGAAATCTAAATCTGTCTCTACCAGTGTTGATTTCTAATGCTGTTTCTTTCTGTTTCTTTCAGGGTGACGAGGAAGGACCCAGGTAAGATCACATTATTGCTGTTTGTTCTCAGAATTGAAGTAGAGTGACATTTGTGGCCTTTTAATGCCCCATGAAATAGGGACAGCCAAAGAACAGCACAGAAAAGGGATCAACATCTTAAGTCAGGGCTTTGAAAATCTTATTTTGTAAGACTCCCATCTCCTTCCCCATCTGTGCCATTTCCTGCCTGTAACCTTCAGATAAAGGTAGACTTTAAAGTATGTAGTGATAGTGACTTCAGAATACCTTGCTAGGAAGAGTAGGCCCTATATTTAAATGGTAATTAGGCTATCAGGTGGACTGCCTAGATAAACTTTTGCATTGTTCTTTCTTGATTGGAATTGGATTGCTTTTTTAAATGGGCTTTGGGTCCAATATTCTTTGTTTCTGACATATAACATTTTTGCATCTGACTCAAGACACTGATACTGTGAATCCTAGGTCATAGGTATTATGTTTCTTTTTTTTTTTTTTTTAAGATTTTATTTATTTATTTGACAGACAGCAAGAGAGGGAACACAAGTAGGGGGAGTGGGAGAGGGAGAAGCAGGCTTCCTGCTGAGCAGGGAGCCCGATGCAGGGCTCCATCCCAGGACCCTGGGATCATGACCTGAGCTGAAGGCAGACGCTTAACGACTGAGCCACCCAGGCGCCCTGGTATTATGTGTCTTAACTTGGTTAAGGAAAAAGAAGAGGCTCTTTTCTGCTTCTGTATCACCACATGAAATGTGAAAGTGTATTTCATTATTGCCTCAGCCTTGCAGTAAACCTGGAGTTTGGTTTCCTTACTTTTGCTGTCATGCTGCCCAGTGAAAACAGGCTCCAGGAAATGCTGCAGCTTTGCCATCCACACAGTCAAGGGGCATTTGTACAAAGTAAAATGAAATGTCCAGGTGGGTCCTGTGTCACATAGGATCAAGAACTGTTCAGGCTGGGAAGTGTCAGAGAGTTCAGTTAGGGCGCTGCTATTCAAGCTTTAGTTTTAGCAGAAGTGGCCCCCCCCTTTTTTTAAATGAGCTTTGAGTAGAACCCCAATATACAAAGAGTTTTTCTCTGGCTAAAGTTGGGGGCCAGATCCATTGGTGAACCTTCTCTCTTCAATACAATAGACCCTGAGGGGCTTCTGCAGAAACCTAGGGTTCCAAAGAACTCAGTTTGTGAAAATCACTTACCTGGTTCAAATTTCTCATTGAAAGAAGGTACATGAATTGTCCAAGGTTACCTTACTGGAACCAAAATTCAGTCCTTCTTTGGTTTATAAACCAACAAAGAAAGTTTCTTCTTTTTTCCTTCTCCGTCCCCACACCCTCTGCCAGTTTCTTGGTGCCAAACATTATCGCACATCTGCATCTCTTGGTGCTTCTCTCCCGTGAGAACTATGGTTTTCAGCCTAGTTCTAGCTCCTTGTCTACCATGGCTAAAGCCACAGGCACCCTGCTTTAGGACTGCAAAGCCTCAGGGAATTTCTTCAAATTCACCTTCCAGCCATTCTCAGGAACAAGCTCCCTCTGAATTGCAGTTTTTCTTTCCTCCCTCTCTCCTTCCTTCCACTTCCTCCCTTTCTTTTCTCATGACCTACCATGTGTCGGGCACTGTGTTACTCACTGGGTATATAGTAATAACTAAGACAGACATGGTTCCTGTCCTTGTGGGAGAAATAAGCATATCACCGGGCCCTTATACTGTGGGACAAGTGCTATGACAGAGGGAAGTTTAGGCTGCTTTGTCAGTCTTGGAGGGTAAGGGAAAGCTTACCAGAAAAGGTCATAAATAAACAGGGCTCTGAAAGATGAGAAGGCAGGCAAAGGAGGAGCAGGGGGTAGGGGGTAGGGTTGTTCTAGGTAGACAGAACAACTTGTGCAGAAGCTCTAGATAAGAGAAGAGTGGAAGAAAGAAAGCAGAATCCAGATCCTTTAGGGCCTTATAGGCCTTCTAAGGTGTTTGAGCTCTGTCTTGAAGGCTTGGGAAAGCTTGAAAGAATTGTAAACAGGAATTAACCCAAGTAGATTTGCATTTTGGAAGTCTCCCCTGCCTTAACTGGAAGTAGATTAACACCAGAGCGTGGGAGGCTAGTTAGACTACAGTAGTGATGATGGGAGCCTAATCCACATCTTTTCTAGTTATTTTTTTTTTAAAGATTTTATTTATTTATTTGAGAGAGAGAGAATGAGAAATAGAGAGCACGAGAGGGAAGAGGGTCAGAGGGAGAAGCAGACTCCCTCCTGAGCAGGGAGCCCGATGTGGGACTCGATCCCGGGACTCCAGGATCATGACCTGAGCCGAAGGCAGTCGCTTAACCAACTGAGCCACCCAGGCGCCCATCTTTTCTAGTTATTGACCAGGTGTTTACCATTTTGCACAGACCTTTGGTTTCGACAGACTCTAAATTCTCTCCTTGGCACTTCCATCTCTCCTATTGTCTAGATAGCTCTAGCTCCTTAAAATCCAGGCCAAACAGAGCCCTAGACTTTCTTCTTCCCCAGAAAGAGCGTTCAGACAAGACCAGTATAATGAAAACACCTTAACAGATGTCATGTAGTTTGGAGGAACCTGATTAGGATGAATGCAGTCATTTGTCTTCATGGTTACATGTCAGAGTCACGTTGAGTAGAAGAATACAGGGACCTTATGAAGAGATAAGCTTGCTTCAAAGGTACTATTTAGTGTAGATACTGGTTTTAGTGTTTAATTGCGGATACCTTCATGTCATTTTGACAAGATAGTCGTGAAGCATAGAGTTTCTTTACTAGCAACCAAGATAATCAAGCTGTCTCCTTCGAGCTAGGCTATCATGGATGTCAGCAGGGACTCTGTTATACCAGGACTTGATAGAACCCTCTTTTGGTACAATGACAGAACCCTTCTTTGGTATAATGAACCCTTTGGTACAATGAAGAGCATGTTCTAATTTGACAGAAAGAAGAAAACGAAGTCAAATTTTCTTTTTATTTTTTTTTATTTTTTTTATTTTTTTTTAAAGATTTTATTTATGTATTTGAGAGACAGAGAGAATGAGAGAGAAAGCACATGAGATGGGGGGAGGGTCAGAGGGAGAAGCAGACTCCCTGCTGAGCAGGGAGCCCGATGCGGGACTCGATCCCGGGACTCCAGGATCATGACCTGAGCCGAAGGCAGTTGCTTAACCAACTGAGCCACCCAGGCGCCCTCAAATTTTCTTTTTAAACTTTAAATTTATATTTGTTGGTTCCATTCAGTTTGTGTTGAACTACCATTTGGCTCAGTTAATTCCAGTTAACACTTCAGGGCAGATTGCCTTTGATCTGAAATTCTCTCATTTATGATACACATTTTACCATCTCAATAAGCCAGAGTTTTGTTCCAGAGGCTTCTGTATTGCTGAAAGTATTGAATGAAGGGAAGTGTGGGTGTGCCTGCACAGGGGATGGAAGAGAATGAATTGGGAGGCTCTGTGTCCAGGCCTCTAGGATTAGGACACTTGTGTGTGTCTCCCTTGCTGGCGTTCTTTCCATTCAGCCGCTTGTCCACCATCCGCACCCAAGTCCAGTTAGACCGGGCTCCAGCCATTCCACAGGAGCAAAGGGAAATCCCTGTGCTATGGATACATATTTGTCTGTAATAGAGCTTGTGTCCTCCCTCCTGCCAGCCTCCCTGCCTTCTTTCCTCCTTTTGGTTCTGATTCCCCAAGCCATTTGACGTGATGCGTCCCAATATTGTGCTGTTGGTCATGCCTATTCCTGGTCCTGAATTTTATTGTGTAGTTGTCCTGCTGATTAATAACAGTAACCATAGCTATCATTTATTGAAGGTTTACTGTGTACGGTATTTTATATCACTTCTCATTTAATCCTCATGTAAAGCTTATGATGTAATTATTAGCCCACTTGTAAAATGAGGAAATTAATGCTCAGAAAGATTAACTTGCCCTAGATCACAGAGCCAGTAAGTAGCAGAGCTAGGATTTGAATCTACTCTGGCTTCAGGGTTCACAACTCTCCACCACTGTTTGGACTGTCTGCCCTTACCTGCCCTCGTGTGCCAGCGCATTTCTTTCTGTGACCCTGAAGGAAAGCCAGGAGGATTCACGCATACTCCTCAGAGGATCGCTTTGCTCTTACTCCTCTAACCTGGGAGGTCTTACTTGCTTTGACATTGAATTGCTAGGGCCTCTGTTTTCTGCAAGCTACTTCTCCTCTCCTTAGCCTCTGTCATTATAAAGGGGTATTTCTTCATTTTACCCTCACACAGTGCCCTTTCAGGGTCAGCAGCAAAAGGGGTACTTTCAGACTCCCTGGGGAGCAGACAGCCAAGCCTTCCTTTGACCCTACAGAATTCCCTGCCTGTTGCCCCTGTGTCTGGTGGTTTACTCTTCAAATCCATGCTACAATTACGTAGATGGCAAGGATTCTTGGAGGGCATGGACGAACAGAAATTCTAATCTGTAGAACATGGATATTAACCACCATGGAGTCATCTTTTAAGAGGGTGTCTTTGAAGCCCAGAGTGATTTTTTTTTTTCAAGCAAAAAAAAGCAATTTACACTTTCGGCAGCAATTTTCTGTCTTCTCTGTGCTATTATGGGAGATCTTGTGTTCACTCCCTCACAGATTGGCTCCTCAACTCCTGCCGGAGCCTGCTGAGAAATAATATATATTCGAGGAGAGGGGGTGGCAGTAGGATCTGCTGCCTCGAAGCTGTTTTGTAGTGGGAGGAAGTCAGAGAGGGAAGGACCCTGAAACTCTTGTGCTCAGAGGAAAAAGGAGCAAGATCAATATTAAATCTTGATTTGCTATTGAGATTTTCTGTGCTTTTTTTTTTTTCCTTAAACTTGGAAATGGCTTTTTAATAGTAACAACCATATTTGGGACTTCTGTAGAATATTTTATCTTCAGAGCTGGCTCTTATTCAGGCAGAAAGCTCCTGCTGAGATCAGTGTGAATCTGACCCATGCTGAGTCTGTGATCAAACAGGCAGCGAGTTCTGAAGGAGTAGGAGCTCAAGGAGGGTCTTGAGTCTCCTAT